AGACATGATCATTTTTTCCTTTAAGTTGAATGCCAGCATGCAGCTATGCATTCCATTCGAAAATCGGCAGTAACGTATTTATGTCAACTGAAAGTGGAGTGGCAAATATACCAAAATATTGATTATTTTCCTGAAAATCTTGAAATCCTGTTTTCAAATTCTTGTATCAAATTGAAAAGCAAGGCTGCATATTTTTCACTGTTCACAGAACTATGTTTAGCCAACGTGTTGAAAGTCATAAAATTGTTAGACTTAATTTAAACTTGCCATAATTTCAGTTTCATCTGGAATGCTGTTACAGTTTGAAACAATGTATTGATAAATTGTTTTTCACCTTGAAGATGCATGTTTAATTCATTTAAAGGAGTGGTTCAATCCACTAAAAATGCTAAATCTGTAAGCCAATTTTCATCGTCATGTTTTGACACAACTTTTGTTTTTGATACCATAAACGACTTAATAACATGTCACAATTCATAATCTTTTTAACATTTGGCCTCGACTTAGCTATCCTATTTCTGAAAAGTAAATGATGTCACCATAGTCAGCATCAATACTTTTCAAGAATTCCTGGAATTGGCAATGATTTAATTCTTTGGCCCTTCTGAAATTCAGTCTGATGATTTGCATGACGTTATCCATTTTTAAAGCTTTTGTGCATAAATTTTCTTGATGTATGCAATGATACTTCATGAAACATGAGTTTTGGTGGCAATTACATTGTCTTCTATAAATTTTACAAGTCCCTCTTTTTTACCTGCCATCACTGGGGCACCATCAGTAACTATACCAGATATGTTGATAATGGACAAAGAAAATCACTTTAACATATTTGTAGTGCTTCATATAAATGTCTTACTTGAGTTGTGTCTTTTAATGGCACTAAAGAAGCAATTTCTTCAGTGTTATTATATTTGTCATCAATACGCTAATAAAAATGGCAAGTTGAGCTATATTTGTAGCACCAGTGCTATCATCGATTGCCAAATTTAAAATTAGCAGCTTTGCTCTCCAAACTTCTTTCGATAGATTTTCCAGTTTCTTCAGTTCGCCTACCTATAGTCTGGTGAGACAAACTGATTTTAGAAATATCCCCCTTTTTTCAGGGCAAATTATATCTGACACATTTTTCATACATTGCTTAATAAATTCATGGTTTGTTGAGAAATTGTTGAGAAGACAGACTTTTTAAAGTTCTGCTATTACGACACAATCCTTGATATGAGCCAAATTTGGCAGAATGTTTTTGAATATAATACCTTTTCAAATTGCAGTCTTGCACAAAAAACTTGCACAAATTACCTACAAATTAAGCAATACATTATTTGCCTCAACAAAAAACTAGTAATTGTACTTTTCATTCAATGATCTTCCTTCATCTGTAATTTTTCTTTTGGGGGGTTCTTTTGAGATGCTGTAGAAGCCATGCTTGGATTAGAAAAACAATAAAAGGGACTATATGTACTTTTCTTTTGAAAATTAATTGACAGGAAAATACATGTGGGCCCTTCCACATCTCAGATGCCAATGAAATGCGAGGCAGAGGGCTGATTGTAAAGCGTGGCAAGAGATGCATGAGGTGCCGCCAAGGTGTGAAATTACCCTTAATAATCAAATAAGAATGCTTATCTGTCTTCTAAATAACATTAAATGCACATTGTTTGCAATGGTAGGTCCCACAAGCAAATGGTGTCAATTTGACTGTCTGAGTTGGGGGAAAAACACTGGAAGTCGCACACAGCTGTAAAACTGAAGCCGTGCATATGTACAAAGAGCAAGAGTATATGTACATCTATTTTACGTGACATTGTGACACAATGTTGTCATCTACAAAGTTCATGCTCGAGAACTGTGCAATCAAGTTACAAAAAAAATTCTCATAATGTTTTACTGTAAATAAGTTTACGATTTTGTGTGGGCCGCATTCATAGCCATCCTGGGCTGCATGTGGCCCGCGGGAAGCAGGTTGGACACCTCTGCTTTAGGAAGTCAATCCAGCTCGTATTTGGTCTTCCTCTTTTCTTGCTGCCTTCAACCTTTCCCAGCATCTGTTTTCTCCAGATACATTATTGCCTTTTCCAGAGACTTTACTTGATATTAGAGATGTCATGAGGCTCTTCTTTATTTAGCTGCAAGAACTAATATGGCTACCCCTTTGGAAATTATGTACAGTGGTGCCTCGCATAGCGATCGCTCCGTTTAGCAATGAAATCGCTTTGCGACAATGTTTTTGCGATCGCAAAAGCGATCGCTTTGTGATGGTCCCTATAGGCTATTTTCGCTTTGCGATGATCGCAGGGAAGAGATCATCGCAAAGTCTCCATTTTTGGCCTGCTGATCGGCGGTTTCAAAATGGCTGCCTGGTAAACAAAATGGCCACCCGCTGTTTTCAGGCATGGATTCCTCGCTTTAGAGGCACCGAAAATGGCAGCGCTATGGAGGATTTTCGCTCAAAGGTGAGTTTTAAGCCCATAGGAACGCATTAATCACGTTTTAATGCATTTCTATGGGCTTTTTTTATTTCGCTTAGCGATGTTATCGCTTAGCAGTGATTTTTTCAGAACAAATTAACATCGCTAAGCAAGGCACCACTGTACAAATAAAAACTCACAAAAATTCACAGAAACTTGAGCTTACATGTTCTGTTTTCTTTATACAGTCGCAAACAGACTTCTTTCACATATATTCTCAATGGCTAGGTTTTTTCAGCTATTTCATCCCTCCAAATATGACAGGAAAGTCCACTGATAGCTTCAATAAGACAGCCAATTTGACATTTTTCCAATCTCTATGCTTTACAAGGCAGTAATTATCTCTAACTACACCAGCCACTAAACAGGACTGGTTTGTTCTAAATTCATTCATGTCTCCACTCCACATACAAATGCCTGAGAACTTCCAAAATATTTTCCACCCCCTTGATGGCTATCCACTAAGAGATACAAATACCTTCAGAGAAGCTCTGACTCTCCAAACTCAATTCCACTAATAGCAGATAGGCCCTTCAGACTCAATAAAAATTTTGTTCAGTGGTGCCCCGCATAGCGACGATAATCTGTTCCAAAAAAAATTGTCGCTATCCGGATTCATCGCTATGCGGGGCAAAAAAGCCCATAGAAACGCATTAAAACACATTTAATGCATTCCTATGGGCAAAAAATTCACCGTTATCCGGAAATCCTCCATGCGGCCGCCATTTTCGCTGCCCGGTAAGCAAGGAAAGGGCACGAAAACACTGCGGGCGGCCATTTTCTTTACCCAGTGGCCATTTTGGAACCGCTGATCAGTTGTGAGAGAAAACATCACTATGGGAAAATCGGTAAGCGAAACGCTTACTGATCATCGCAAAGCAATTTTTGGCCATCTAAAACATCGTTATAACACGACGCTATGCAGATTCGTCGTTAAACGAATTGCTCATTATGCGGGGCACCACTGTAATACTATAACCCAAATAATGCCCATTCAACTTCCTCTGCTCAGTATCTACTTCTCTATAGATCCCATTGCACTTTTAATGTATCCTTTCCCCCACTCATTTTTTCCAGACTTATCCAGACCCCTTGTTGCTTACCAAAATTTCCTTTTCTTTCCTGCACAATTTCCTCCAGTTCCAGATAAAATTCATTATAAATGCACACAAGAACTGATTTTAGAAGTATTTTGTATCCCTAGTTGTATTTTCTCTGTGGCTTATTCTATTTGCTTTCTGTACTATATTTAGTAAATGTCTAGTAACTGGATCATGCCTCATTGTACTCTCTACTTATTGATCTTTATCCTGAGAAAAGAGCTACTTTTGGAGTACTACAAGATTACATCACAAACTATTACCCATATTTCCTTATTTGGAGTACTAACAAAAATGCTGCCTCATAAAAATATATATAAGAAGGAAGAGACTTATTTCAGATGCGAACAACTAATTTTTGCCAGATGTTTTCATGCTACAAAGTATTTATTGCCAAACAGTGAATCAGAAAGCTACTGGTAGTATATATAAGACAATATAAAGGATAATAAAGGATAAAATTTTATTTATTTATTTATTTATTCTATTTATATCCCGCCCATCTGGTCTGGTCGACCACTTGACCAGGATATAGTCTATGTTGTCATGATATCTCTACACTCACAGCAATACTTTTCTTTCGGCTCTCATCACTTTAAGAGGCACCCAGACCACACCAAAAGCAGCATGAAATCAAACATTACACTTTCTCACTAGCCTGAAACTTCAGAGAAAGGCCAAAGTTACAATGCACTTTAGGAAAACTCAGAACATTTCCAAAATGTACCATAAAGCCAAAAGGCACTCGGAGAACTATCGAAGTGCAGAATGCCTTAAATATCTGAGCATCTTTAATCTGGAGAAGAGAAGATGGAGAAGTGATAGCAGCAAGATAGTTTTCTAAAAATGGCTTCAAATGGCAGGTCCTGAAATAATGCATTTAAATTACAAGAAAGAAGATTTTAACTAAACATCAGAAAGAAATTCTTGACAATTAGGGATGACAGTGAAATGGACTTTTTTTTAAAAAATGTGGACTTTCCTTGCCTGAAAGTTTTTAAACAGAAGTTGGATAGCCATCTGTCAGGAATGTTATGGCTGCAGATTTTCTTCAGCAGAGGGATGGATTTAATCACCCCTATGGAGTCCCTTTCAGCTCTACAAGTCTGTGATCTTGTGATAAAACTAAATGATGATAGCAACAGCCTTCATAGATTAATCACATAAAATAAAATGAACTCCATTTAACAAATAAGATAGCATTTCTCTACAAAATGAACTATAAACAGCATTTCTGGATAGAAATTTCTAAATTTTCAAGCATGTCCAAAACTCAAAATCTGAATAAGCTAATAACTAACATTTTCTTTCAAAAATCACTATTATGACAACAATGCTGAATAATGCCAATGATAAACCCACACTTGGACAACAAATTAATTAACAGAACAGCTTAAAATGTATTGCTTGATATTAATAAAAGTCTCACCTGGATACAAGCCTGCTTAAATCAGAATGTTCCTCAGATTCTATGATAATGTTAAGATCAGAAACAATGGCTGAAAAATTTTTGCTATTCTGAAAAAAAAAATTGAAATGATCATTAAACAAAGCTGAGATAGAAAATATTCAAATTTCTATGCAAATTAGAGTAAAATAACATCAACTTACATAATAAAACGGTAAAATAAACTGGATGTTATCCTGAGATTTGGATGTTTCAACATGATTGTTCAACTGGAAAACTGAATGAAATAGATTTAAAATTCTGGCTACTTGCTCTCAAGCCTGCAGTTTCCTTAGGCTCAGGGTATTTGCAGGGCAATTTTATACCTCATGAAGAAAAAGAATTGTGATCCTAATTCCCTGTAAATATGAAAGATTTACAATTTTGGGGCATGTTATATTATGTATGATGCCTAGTACCAGCGACTGCATTACAGTAGCATGCCACAGCATAGCGTGTAAGATAATGGAAATATTAATTCTCGTATTTGACCTGACCTAAATAAAGAAAGAAAGGGCAAGAAACTACCAATCAAAACACCAGAACACAGATGTCCCTAAAAAATCTTTCCAGAAGAAAAGTTTGTATTATAATGTAGGAGTGTTGGGATAGTACACATGTTCTGAGTATCCATTAGCCCTCTCATAATAATTCTGCTAAACAGTGGAATCCTACATGAGTTACTACCACTGAAGCTAAGTACACTAAGAGTGCAGTACCCTTCTTTTTTAGCACACAAAAATGCCATACTGGCAATTTCCTGATGGTAATTTACAATTTAATGCTTCTTACTACTGGAACTCACACACAACCCTATCTACCTAGAAGATTCAGCATGAACTATTAGTGTTTCTCTTAGCACGTCTGGAAGAGAAAGCACGAATGGCTGGGAGTATAATGTAGTTAATTCTATTTTCTTGGGTAAGGTCTGCCATCTGTCTTTAATTTACAAAGGACCATTAAATAACCAAGAAATAATACACTTCCTCCTTTGCAGTGAAACAAAGACACAGTGGGTTATTCCTAAGGAAGTAGCAATAAAACACGAAAGGGATGACCTGCATTATCAGAGCAAGTTGATACTGTTTTAAAAGAACTGTTACGTATGTTCATCTTCTATCTGACAAATGTGTCATATCTTCAGCAAAATCAATCTAAAAGTCAAGTTTGCACATTTATATCAAAGCGCCCTCTGGTGGTCAAAAGAGAAAATTATAAAATTTCAGTTACCAGATAAGGACAATTTAGTTTAGGTCTGCTGTCTGCAAAGCAATTCACAGCTTATTTTAAGCACTCAAGAATCAGAACTAAACAAGCTACTAACTCAACTTTCATGTGTTTTGGAATAACATAAACAGAACAAAGAGTCCTGTCAGAACTATCTTCTGTCAGAAAGCATTATAAGAGATGAGGGAACCACTCTGCGTGACTGCTTTGCCATCTCTATTAAGAGACCCACTCTGCTTGGTTTCCTCCTCTCACCTGTTTCCCATTAGAGAAGATTATCATAAATGTTTGAGACCATATTAGATGCTCAGTTTCTTTTCCTTTCCTTCCTCATTTCTTTTTCCCTTTGTATCTTATTTTATACCTTGCAACTCTGTGGACGGCAATCTTGTTTCAATTCATACTTATATTTACCCACTAATATTTACCCTTCTATTTGTCTATTTTATCATGTCTATTTTTATGTAAAATCGTTTTATATATATTCACTGTTCTATTTTATGTAGTTAGCCGCCTAGAGTGGTCTTAACCGACCAGATAGGCGGGATATAAATAAAATAAAATAAAATAAAATAAA